TTTGTAAATATATCAACTCTATGAATGGATTTGGAGTCTAAATAAATCCTTGGATCGATATTTTTATCAATCACGGCTATTACCTTCGCTTTACACACGAGCAAGAGATATAATAGCAAATTATATCGAAATTATTATGAGAACAAACTGAAAGACGAAACTTCGCGGCTGGTCTCTCGCCGCCATCTGGCGGCGAGCGTTTCGTAACGCGTCCGGTGCGTGCGTGCGTCGGTTGCGTCAGCCATTGAAATACCCCGAAATCGCGCTCGAGACCAGCCAGTGATTCTACATCGATCGGGGTCGCTATTCACGGTCGGACAACGGGCCAACTACCATCCTTCTGTGTGACAGAAGCGCGCGGTGAGTAACTCTGACAAGCGAGTACGGACGGACGCGGGAAACGCGTGAACGCACGGTGGGTGTGCGGCCTTTCCACGCCGAATTCGGACCTCCGCCGATCCCCGGTGACACCACGTGCTCGCGCGTGCTTCCCCCGTCAACGAAATCCGATCCGCGAACTTACGTCGAATGACCGGAAATGCGGGATAGAATTTCCGAGGGGGAGGAAAAAAGGTCGAGTTCTCCGCTTGCCTTCCTTCCTTCCTTCCTTTCTTCGTCGTCTCGTCGGATGATTCCTCTTTAGATCGAACGACCGCGTGACCGCGTCGGACAGTACTTACGTAACTCTCCTAACCCTGGCCCTGAGCCAGCGTGGAAACGTACGTTTCGAATGCATCGCTTTTAGGGTCGTGCGAAGTGCAAGACGTCTTTCGCTCGTCTGGGGGAGGAGTGCCAGGCGGAGTGGTCGCGATCGATTGGTTGAAATTTAAAATCTCCGATTCAGGTGAATCAGGATTTCCTGATCGGTGGCTAGTTTGTTCCCGTTATCATAATGCCTCGATCGCCCGTTTCAATATCGAATTAGCGATAATCACGGTTATCGTAATCTGACCTTTGTATTACAGGTAATCCAAAAAAAAAAAAAAAATACATATCCGTCCAACTGGCTGGCCGAAGGTCATTTTTAAAGTCACACGTGTCCACATTGATCACTCCGAACGTCTCCTTTGTCCTCCTACTGTCATTCAAGCGGATGGAATGCATCTTGCATCACCCATCACACGGATTTTTTTATTCTTTTATCGAAATGTGTTCTCAAATGTCATCGCATTCAGAATTGACGATTATTATTCCGTTTCCGCGACTTGTTCGGAAGTCCCTCAGGCGCGACATGTCTCTCACATGCTTCTCCGAACGCGTCGCGCGTGATGACGTATTACGAGGAAAAAAATTGCCTTCTTTGCGTGATGCAATACTTGTTACATCGCGAGCGAACGTTAGAGTTATGGAATAAAAAGTTTAATATTTGAAAGAAAAGTATGTAATACTGGAAAAATTGTGATAAATATTACCTTATATAATAGTTGGTTATTATATAATTGCACAAAGACGTCTCAAACTGTTATGGGAAAGCGACTTGAAATTTATTACAATTATCTTTTTTTTTTATCGCAGATTAATTTAGGAGAGTACAAATGTTCTGTACACATCTGTATTTAAATGTGACATCAAGTTAAGAATACATTTTTATTCTCTATTGAATAATATGATTGCGTATATATACGCGCGTTGGCAAAGCGTGTGAAATTGCAAAAGTTAATCATTGGCGCCAATTCTTCGAAATAATTCTTGCGAAACCGATGCAATTAGATCAATAATCGGATTAAGGATCATTATTTAATGAGTTTTAGAGAATTAGCATTTGAATTAACATTTGGTTAAAAAAATTGCACGTTGTTATTTTTAATATATATTATTATTTTATGGTTCTAACTTTAAATTTTTTTTCAAACACTTTTAATGTAGAGAATAAAATTATCTGTTTTTCATGTCAACAGACCTCATATAATCATCTTTCTTTTTTTAGACTACACAATTAAGTAAACATGGGTGTTCCGGCGGGTGATCCAGAGAAAGGAAAGAAGGTAATAATGAAGAGCGATATCAAATAAAATTTGTAACAACCTTTTAAACAATTATAATGACAATTGTAATAACGTAATTATGTGTTTCTTTCTCTTAGCTCTTTATTCAGAGGTGCGCACAATGCCATACTGTCGAAGCGGGTGGCAAACACAAAGTAGGCCCTAATTTACATGGGCTTATAGGTAGGAAAACTGGGCAAGCTCCAGGTTTTCTATATACCGACGCCAACAAAGCGAAAGGTGTGTATTTATCTATTTAATTATTTAATAAAATTTAGTTAAAAATTATAAATTATCATAAGTCATTATAGTATTATTTCATATTATCTCCAGCGTTAATTGCCTTACGTCGTTTGCGTGCTGTAACGTACATCTAATTCTAATTTACGCGTCGTCACGTTTTTAGGTATCACCTGGAATAAGGATACCCTGTTCGAGTATCTAGAAAACCCAAAGAAATACATTCCCGGCACAAAAATGGTGTTCGCCGGTTTGAAGAAACCGCAGGAGCGGGCTGATCTTATCGCTTATTTGGAACAAGCGACTAAGTAGGCACATCTCCCCGTGCATGCTACCGATCGCGGAAATCGCGACGAACGCGAGCGAGCGCGCGCGAGACGCCGCGCGTGGCACGAGTCGCGATATTAGTACGATTATCATCTCATCACGTTTTCCGTCACCTCACTCGTGTTCATCTTTAACGGACTCTCCTCTCGATGGTACTCAAAAGCGTTCGCAATACGTGTTCGACTAGTAAATGAATTGTTATTGTATTGTTGATAAGTAGGTAATTGCAAATATGTACATTGCATATGTGACACAGGGATCGGGCTAGATCCTGATCCTGCTTTCTCTTTCTCCTTCATTACACCGAAGAGATATTCTCAAGAGCGCTAACGCCCGCCACACGAGTGGTTGAGCCACTCTTCCGCGGACCCCCGCGTCCTCAACTATTTATTATCATTGTACCGATCGTATCATGCAACGAGTGTTGATCTGTAAATCAAAGACAAAATACAGACTAGGTAATTGAAAATTCGCAGATTCGCTAGTTTTTTTTTTTTTTTTTTCCTATTGTAAGATTCTGACTGTTCAGTTGGATTAGCGAATATTATAATTGGGTATTTACAAAGTGATTAGCTGTCATTGGTATGCTATCATTTTCGAGGTCCGATTAGATTAGACAAGCCACATATGGAGCGTTTTGAGCGTTTTATCGTTGACATTTCCCTGATCCTATTATTAGACCTTCCTTTTTTTACTTATATACATACATTGAAGAATTTCCAAGATTGATAAGAGCGGAAGAGGAAGAATGTGGTAATGCTGACGGGAAGTCTACAACTCGTCTGGGGTTTTACCAGATCCTTTAGCGAAATTTTATTACAGTCGTTCTTGGTGCTTTGTTCTGATGCAATGTGTCGCGCTCATATATAAGCGAATTTTTTAAAAATTTTAGTAGTTTAGTATATAAGTGATAATTACGAAATCTAGCAATCTCGATTATCATCGATATTCGCGATAATTTTAATTTTAAATTAATTTTAAGTGTAGATGTTATGATTTTTTAATTATTTATTTAATTCTTTATTTTTTTATTCTTATATGACACGTTCTTCGACAATATCGAGTTTTAGTACGCGCATCTCGAGAGAATTAACTCCTTACAAGTTACTGGAAGAATTTTATTTTTAACTTAATTAATATTTCTACAAAAATTTAAATTACGCGTTTTAACGAGTTGTTCTCCAAGAATTATAATGAGCAATTCAGGATCGTCCGATCAGGCCGTTTCGGACGTCGACAGTGATTCTGTTGCAAGATTCAGAGATAAAACATGCTTGAGACTGCGTTTGGGTCGTGTCTTCAGCTCTAATGCACTTAAGAGTCCTAAAAGTCCAAAGAGCGTATCTAATTCACGCGGATCAAGTCCAAGTCACGGTAGTCCTCGCGCTAGGACGAGATATTCTTGGCAACCAGGAACTTACGGCGGTGAAGAGAATCGATCACCGTGCACATCGGAAAGCGGGATCTCGACCCTGTCATCGTCGTTAAAGTCGTCATCGTCGATCACTAACACGACGGGCTCACCCAAGAGTCCATCCACGCCGAAACATCCATACTTTTCGTACGCCGCCGACAGGTAAGTTTATATTTGTATCTTTGCAATGCCGACTTGCGTCTTTTACATTACACACACGCGCGCGCGCGCACACACACAGACACACAGACACAGTATTTTATATATTTTTATACATTATATTTTGTGTGTGTGTGTGTGTGTGTGTGTGTGTGTGTAAAACAGTTGTAAAAAATTGAACCTTCACGGTCAATTAAATGCAAATTAAACTTATAATTAACGCTAAAAGAGAATATTTTCGTCTTCATTAGTCTTAGGTCATTAACGTGCCGCGAATGAATTTTATTAATAAATATTATAGTCGCTACTTTTTAAAGATTTTCTTTGAAACTTTTTTTCAAACTTTATAAAAAGGCTTTTTTAAAAACTCTATTTCTTTTCATTTCTCTTTTTTAATTAAGGTCTATTTACGAAAGTAACTTTCAATAGATATATTGAAAAAAACGGCATATTGCTACAATTCTATACTTTTTATTGATATTATTACTTTATTTATAAAACAAATTTTCATTTCTGATTAAAATATAGAATTGCTTTGTCTGTCATTTTTTTCCTAATATTCAATCGCATGAATTTACATCTGGGTTTCTTTTTTTTTTCTACATCGACATATTTTATATTTCCACAATAATTACATAAATCTCGCGATTTGTCAGAATGTCTTTCTCTCTTTGATATTTATAACGCGAATATAAAATCATATAACGAATGATCCTTTTTTTTATCCTTTGTGGGCGTTTCGCTGACCTGGAACCACGTTGTGGCGTTCGTCAAAGGGTAACTCAAACTATTTTTATCCCCGACAGAACGCTCGACATCTCCAATGAAATATTATTCCCGCAGAGCACACACAGATAAATGTACCTCACTGTTCTATGCATTAGCGACGTTTGTATAACGAATAAAACACACTGTAAGCCGTCTGGATCATAATCGCATTTCTGCTAACGCGACCGTACGATTCTGCCGCGAGATAACACGCGTTCGTGTTAAGCTAATCAAACTGAATTGCGTTTTCAATTGATGATTTGTCATTTTAATATATTGAAATTTGAAAAAAAATCAGCTTTATCAAAAAGTTTCGCTCTTCTCCTTTCCTCTCTTTGGAAATTAAAATCATTAAAAAGATAATTTTAAGAAATTATTGAAAAATTTTTATTGTTTAAAAACTAACTGAAAGCTAATTTTAAAGGCTACATTTTGAAAGCTAATATTATACAAGATTATCTTTGAGAAATGCAGAGTTCAAGATAAAGTTAAGTTTGAAGGGAGTTATGCTATAGCAAGTATGCTATAGCATACTTAAAATTTTATGCGCTTAGATACCTACTTTTCTGTCCTCATTGTTTATATTTGTTTATGTTTGGTATTTTTTCATTAGAAATTACATGACACAGAATAATTCAACGGCATTGCAGCAACACTTCAACGTTCGTGTGATATTGATGGAATGTGTCGTTTGGGCTATTTACATCATTGGTTTTCGATGTCGTTAGACTAAGAATTCCAACCACATTTTGCGTGGCTAATACAACCGCGGAGTTTGATAGGTAATCATATGCGTTATGGTTTTCCGTATATTGGAAGAAGTCCAAGAACAAACGCAGGTATCGATCAGAATGGACACTTTTATGTTTTTGCGCCGCGCAACCACGCTGGACTTTAGTCGCGCGGGCGCGTTTTCTCTCTGTCAGATAATGGAGATAAAAATCGGATAACCCTTGGCAAGTGCTCAAGGTACCGGTCAAAGTATTGTCTAGTAGATCACAGCTGGTGATCCCAAGATTAGTCTAAATGACTCGCACGGGAATGCGTACGATTGCACTTTGCGCATTCCGAGTCTGTCACGCAAGACAGATAATCCGACTATGCAAATAAAAGGTAACCGCTCACAAAGCAAATAAAGCAACGAGAAAGGGGATTTGTGACGGTTTTATGGCTTCTTCGTTTAATGACATAATCTTAAAAGGAGCCGTTTTGCAAGAATTGCATTGTAAAACTATTTTCCTCGTTATCGTTAGAACTGTAGAATCATGCGAATGAAATTAGAAGATTAGAAATTCATGGAAATTCCTACAGATACGTCCTTGTTTTTAAAGAAGAACCTTTGCGGATTCTAAAAAATGTGACCCAGTTCAGGACCTTCCATCGTCCTAAGTAAGCGAGGGATGTAGTTCTCGCGCAAGGTGCACGGCGGCATCTTTTTCTCAAGTGAATAAATTATACTGAAATCGGACGTCGTTAACGGTGACGTCGTTTAACGGTGACTCTAGCGGAATGCGGAATTTTACATCTTCAGATGCGGATGGGTCGGCGAGCGTTTAGGGAGCCAGGGCAAATTTTGGAAAAAGCCTTCTCTCTCGACGAGCAGGTGGAACGAATAATCCGCCCGCGGTACGGGGCGCGCGTTTTCGCGTATGACAGCCGTGGGTCTGTCGTTGGTCTTTTTCGTACATCATCGAGGAACCACCGACCGACGGGTCGATGCAGCGCCGGCGCTGCGGAGCGCGCGACCACGA